TCTGTCTCCAAAAAAAAAAAAAAAAAATTACATCTGCCAGGCGCGGTGGCTCACGCCTATAATCCCAGCACTTTGGGAGGCTGAGGTGGGTGGATCACCTGAGGTAAGGAATTTGAGATCGGCCTGACCAACGTGGTGAAACACCCTGTCTTGTAAAAATGCAAAATTAGCCAGGCATGGTGGCACATGCCTGTAATCCCAGCCACTTGGGAGGCTGAGGCAGGAGAATTGATTGAACCCAGGAGGCAGGGGTACAGTGAGCCGAGATCAGGCCATTGCACTCCAGCCTGGGCTACAAGAGCGAAACTCCATCTCAAAAAAAAAAAATTACATCTATATACAGTAACAGTAAGCAAACCAAAAATGAAATTAAGAAAGCAATTTAATATACAGTAGCACCAAAATGAATGAAATACTTAAATATAAATTTAACTGGCCGGGCGCGGTGGCTCACGCCTGTAATCCCAGCACTTTGGGTGGCCCAGGTGGGCTGATCACAAGGTCAGGAGATCGATACCATCCTGGCTAACACGGTGAAACCCCATCTCTACTAAAAATACAAAAAATTACTCAGGCATGGTGGTGGGAGCCTGTAGTCCCAGCTATTCGGGAGGCCGAGGCAGGAGAATGGCGTGAACCTGGGAGGCGGAGCTGGCAGTGAGCCGAGATAGTGCCACTGCACTCCAGCCTGGATGACAGAGCGAGACTCTGTCTCAAAAAATAGAATAGATTTAACGAAGGAAGTACAAAACTCATACTCCAAAATCTATAAAAACCCTCTTAAAAGAAATTAAAGAAGACCTGAATAAATTGCCCGTATTTACACATCAGAATTAATATTGTTCAGGTGGCAGTACTCCCATATTCATCTACAGATTCAATATAAATTATATCAAACTCCTAGCTGAATTCTTTACAGAAAATGACACACTGATGATAAAATTCATAGGATTTGGAAGGGACTCAAAATGAGAAAACAATCTTGAAATACAACAACAAAGTTGGAGAACTCACACTTCCCAATTTCACAACACTGTATGAAACTACAGTAATCAAAACAGCGTGGTCACCTGGGCAACATAGTGAAACCCCCATCCCTGTAAAAAATTAGTCAGGCATGACAGCACATACCTGTGGTCCTAGCTACTCAGGAGGCTGAGGCAGGAGGATTGCTTGAGCCTGGGAGTTGGAGGCTACAGTTAACTGTGATCATGCCCCTATCCTCCAGCCTAGGTGGCAGAGCGAGTCCATCTCAATACCCAAACAAACAAAAACCCAATGTGGTACTGGGATAAGGAAAGACATGTAAATCAATAGAATATAATTGAGATTCTAGAAACAAACGCTAACGTTTACAGTCAATTGATTTTTGCCAGTGGTACCAAGACAATTTAGTGGGGGAAAGAATAGTCTTTTCAACACATGATGCTGAGCCAGGTGGATATCCACCTGCAAGTGAATGAAAGTGCGCTCCTGCCTCACACCGTATACAGACGTCAACTAAGAACAAATCAAAGACTTAGATGTAAGAACTAAACTTGTAAAACTCTTAGAAGTAAAACATAGGTGTAAGTCTTTATGACCTTGGATTAGGTGATGGTTTCCTAGGTATGACACTTAAAGCACAAAAGCACAAACAACAGAAGAAAAATAGATAGATTGGATATCATCAAAATTAAAAATTTTTGTGCTTAAAAGGATGCCAGCAATGAATTGAAAACTCATGGAGTGGGAGAAAAAATTTCAAAGTATATGTCTGATAAGGGACTTGTAGTTAGAATATATAAAAACTTTTGCCAGGCACAGTGGCTCACGCCTGTAATCCCAGCACTTTGGGAGGCCAAGGCGGGTAGATCATGAGGTCAGGAGTTCGAGACCAACCTGGCCAACATGGTGAAACCCCATCTCTACTAAATACAAAAAGTTAGCCTGGCATGGTGGCACATGCCTGTAATCCAGCTACTTGGGAGGCCGAGGCAGGAGAATTGTTTGAATCCAGGAGGTGGAGGTTGCATTGAGCCAAGATTGCGCCACTGCACTCCAGCCTGGGCAAGAAGAGGGAAACTCTGTCTCAAAAAAACAAAACAAAATGAAACAAAAACTCTTACAGTGCATCAGTAAAAAGTCAGATAACCCAATTAAAAATGGCACTGTCAGCCAGGCGCAGTGGCTTATGCCTGTAATCCCAGCACTTTCGGAGGCCGAGGTAGGTGAGTCACTTGAGGTCAGGAGTTTGAGACCAGCCTGGCCAACATGGTGAAACCCCATCTCTACAATAAAAAAATCACCTGGGGCCTGGTGGTGAGCACCTGTAATCCCAGCTACTCAGGAGGCTGAGGCAGGAGAATCGCTTGAACCCGGGAGGCAGAGGTTGCAGTGAGTTGAGATCGCACCGCTGCACTCTAGCCTGGGTGACAGAGTGAGACTCTGTCTCAATAAATGAATGAATGAATGAAAATGGCACTGTCCTCTGGTATTCCACAATGGAGTAAGAGATGATTTGGCCTCATGGCTCATACTTTCCCCTTTGGTGCATGGCAGCCCTTTCCCACCTTGTCATAGTCCACCCTGTTCCAGGCCAGTTCCAGGCCCACTTTTTGCCCTGTGAGCCCCCTGCGTTTCTGGCTTCTACTTTTTTCGGCAGCTACTCAATGGAGCTTCTCTATTCAACATCTAGTCGTGTATTCGTATGTCTTTTGTTTTTTCTTTCAGCGATGACGCTTCTTTCCCCAACGACACTGTTGGGAGCTTCTTAAGAATAGGCCGTCTAGGGACAAGGATGTGAAGCGGTACAAGGGAAAAGCAGGCCGTTGAGGACCTGCAGTGTGTCACCACCATGCTTGTATCTCTTGTTAGCTTTGTGGCCTTAGGTTCAATGCTGACCCTTTCTGAGGCTCAAGTTTCCTTATTTTTAAAATAATGTTACAGGAAGTAATCTGGTCCGTACCTGAGCCTGGTATGGCCTCCTGGACGTTCCTGTTTTCCGACTGTCTTCAGCACAGACATGAGTAAAGTGAGAATGACCAGTCCGGTGACTTACTGAGGGCAAGGTGTTCCAATTCAGATTGTATACTGATAACTACACAGGGGAATAAGAGAAGAAACACATTAGCAGCCTGAAGATTATAGATGTTATTGAAGAATGCATTAGTAGTGTGACCACTTTTTAAAAGTTTTCAGTGTTAGAGGAAATAACCACCCCTACTACTTCTACTATACTGCAATTACTGTTAGCATGTTTATTTTTTCTTTTGTTTGTGCTTTTTTTCACTTCTTTTGTGTTTTTATCATGCATTACTTATAATTATTTTGACAGTTTTTGCACCCTACTTTTCCACGTAGCATAGATATTAGTATTTTTGATTGGTTCCTTTTATAAGTAAGGAAACATTGCTTTTATTTTTGGTCAATCATAAAACTTTTTATACTCTGATATATTTTGTATGTGCTGACATAGTAATATAGTGGTGTAAGTAATGTGTATCATTAACTACGTAGTGGTTATACATGGAATTGGTGTGAAAATCCTGGCTAGGCATGGTGGCTCACACCTATAATTCCAGCAGTTTGGGAGGCCAAGGCAAGAGGATTGTTTGAGCCCAGGAGTTTGAGACTTGCCTGGGCAATCCAGTGAGACCCAGTCTCTACACAAAATTTTAAAAAAATTAGCCGGGTATGGTGGCATGCACCTGTAGTCCCAGCTACTCCAGTGGCTGAGGCAGGAGGATCACTTGAGCCCAGGAGTTTAAGCCTGTGGTGAGCTATGATTGCACACTGCACTCTAGCCTGGGCAACAGAGTGAGAGGTGGTCTCTTAAAGAGAAAAAAAGAAGAAAAAGAAAATGGTTTTTCTAGATAAAATATCTGCTATTAGAAGAAAGGTCAGGTAATTTGATTTAACCTTGAATGATTTCTCTTTTTTCAATAAAGGTCCATTTTAGCTTCCTATCTCCTGAAGGAAAAGCTCAACATCTTGGGCAAGTTGGGGTGCCTGCTAAGCTGTGCAGGCTCTGTTGTGCTGATTATCCACTCCCCAAAGTCTGAGAGTGTGACCACTCAGGCTGAACTGGAGGAGAAGCTGACCAACCCAGGTAATTCCTTTCTAGCAGCACTGCCAAGAAAGTTTGCACTAGGAGTCCCAACTTTTTTAACCACGTCTTCAAATTGGACACTTTCTGGCAGGGCAGAGGAACCGTGTGTCCACCCTGATCTGTTACTGTAGATCTGCGTTCTCTGGGCACGTGCGTCAGTGGGCTGCGCTCGTAGGCTGGCCCTCTGCCCTCACCCTCCTTCCTGATCCTCACGTCCTGGGGGGAGCCTCCGTGGCCTGGCATTCCTTCAGGTTCTCTTCTGGGACCTTGTGCATGGGCACCTTCCCTTCCCACAGTGGCTCCCCTTGGGCCACCCTCCCAAGTCTGACTGCTACCCGCCCCTCCCCACATGCCTTTCCTGGTGTGCCCGCTCTGTCTCCACCTCAGCACTTCGCTCCCTCCAGCATGAAGCTCTGTGAGGACAAAGGCCTGGCATCTCTTACGTTTAGATTCCTCATATAGCCCTGTTTATATATTTTTTGACATAATTTCTTTTTTTTTTTTTTTTTGAGACAGAGTCTCACTCTGTCACCCAGGCTGGAGTGCAGTGGCGCAATCTCCGCTCACTGCAAGCTCTGCCTCCTGGGTTCATGCCATTCTCCTGCCTCAGCCTCTTGAGTAGCTGGGACTACAGGCACCTGCCACCATGCCCAGCTAATTTTTTTTTGTATTTTTAGTAGACACAGGGTTTCGTCGTGTTAGCCAGGATGGTCTCGATCTCCTGACCTCGTGATCCGCCCACCTTGGCCTTCCAAAGTGCTGGGATTACAGGCGTGAGCCACTGGGCCCGTTCTCTTTTCTTTCTTTTTTTTTTTTTTTTTTTGAGTGCATTAAAAACTACTCTCTACATGATTACAATAGACTTAAAGTATAGATTTCACTGTAAGTAGGCTACCCTGTGTTGCTTACCAACAAGTTTAGGCAGGTGCCAGCACAAAACTGCCTCCACATCAGTTTGCTAGTTTTCTTGTCCAGCAAGTGTGGATGTCCACACCCTCTTTTGCATGTCCACACCCTGGTTTGCTTGTCCACACTCGCTAGTTTTCTTGTGCACACTCGCTGGTTTTCTTGTGCACACTCGCTGGTTTTCTTGTGCACACTCGCTGGTTTTCTTGTGCACACTCGCTGGTTTTCTTGTGCACACTCGCTGGTTTTCTTGTCCTCACTTGCTGATTTTCTTGTCCACACTTGCTGGTTTGCATGTTCACACCCTGGTTTGCATGTCCACACCCTGGTTTGCATGTCCACACCCTGGTTTGCATGTCCACACCCTGGTTTGCATGTTCACACCCTGGTTTGCATGTCCACACTCACTGGTTTTCTTGTCCACACTTGCTGGTTTTCTTGTCCACACTTGCCGGTTTGCATAGCCAGCAGTTCCCAGCCCTCTCAGGTCCATTTGTGATCTTGGAATGGGTTTCACAGAGAACACAACCTCCTTATACACGTAATTTCAAACCGTCAGTTTAATGCCCTCACTGTAATATAAAGGAGAAATACCAGGACGATACTTTAAAACAAAACATCCATTTCAGTATGTAAATGCTCAGGTCCCCCTACAAGAGAAGACCCGTTGAAGCTGGCCAGCCCCACACCTTGTGAGGAGTGGTTGAGAATCTGGTAGCTGCAGATACAGACTGACAGGAGGTGTCGTGTTACTGACTTGGACACTTGAGGTCTTACCATCAACACAATGATCCTCAGATGGAGCATAACTCTTAATCAAGCTTTGATCAAAGAAAGAACAATCCTCCCTCAATTTACATGGAAGTGGCATTTCTGAAAAATTCAGCGTATATTAAATCCATGCAAAAATTGCTTTGTTTCATACATAAAATTAGTTTCTAGGCTCTGATTATTCTAAGTATGTTCAGTTACAAGTCCAAGGAGACATTCTGAAGTTGTAAGGAGAAAGGGATGATTTTGGTGGGAGTGGGGGTTGCTGTCTGCACATGCCTCTGCCCACTGGGTGCAGCCCCCAATCATTGAAAAACCCACAAATGCCCCCACAGCTTATAGCCCTCCCTCCTGTCCCCAGCCTTACCCCGCCCCCTGGATTTCCAGGTGCTTTTTTGAAACCTTGGAGCATCTTCATTGACTTGCATTGTTAAGAGAATGGTTCTAGGCTGGGCGCGGTGGCTCACGCCTGTAATCCCAGCACTTTGGGAGGCCAAGGACGGCGGACCACGTAAGGTCAGGAGTTTGAGACCAGCCTGGCCAACATGGTGAAACCCTGTCTCTCCTGAAAATATGACAGCCAGGCGTGGCGGTGGGTGCCTGTGATCCCAGCTACTCAGGACGCTGAGGCAGGAGAATCGCTTGAACCTGGGAGGCAGAGGTTGCAGTGAGCAGAGATCACGCTATTTCACTCCATCCTGGACAACAAAGAGCAAAACTCCGTCTCAAAAAAACAAAACAAACAACAAAAAAACGGAGAATGGTTCTGATAGAGAACCATGTAAACATTTAGGAGCTGTAAATGTTTGTTTGTTTGTTTTTTTTGAGATGGATTCTCGCTTTGTCGCCCAGGCTGGAGTGCAGTGGTACGATCTCGGCTCACTGCAACTCTTGCCTCCTGGGTTCAAGCGATTCTCCTGCTTCAGCGTCCTGAGTAGCTGGGATTACTGGCGCCCGCCATCACGCCCGGCTAATTTTTCATACTTTTAGTAGAGAAGAGGGTTTCACCATGTTAGCCAGGATAGTCTCGATCTCCTGACCTCCTGATCTGCCTGCCTCGGCCTCCCAAAGCGCTGGGATTACAGGTGTGAGCCACCGCGCCTGGCTGTAAATGTTTTAACAGTGAAAGTGATGGGAATAATGTTGTGGAATGAAATCAGTGGATCTGGTAAATTCAAGCCGGAGCCCACATGCCCCCCAGGGCTGTGTCACAGTAGAGGCGGGTGGCGGGTGGGGGCACGGGTGCTGCCCCAGTCTACCTCCTGGGTTGCGGCTGCTGGGCGGCGGCTGCCGGGTGACCGTGTGCCGTCTGTGTTCCAGTGTTTGTGGGCTACCTGTGCATCGTGCTGCTCATGCTGCTGCTGCTCATCTTCTGGATCGCGCCGGCCCACGGGCCCACCAACATCATGGTCTACATCAGCATCTGCTCCTTGCTGGGCAGTTTCACCGTGCCTTCCACCAAGGGCATCGGGCTGGCGGCCCAAGACATCTTGCATAACAACCCGTCCAGCCAGAGAGCCCTCTGCCTGTGCCTGGTGCTCCTGGCCGTGCTCGGCTGCAGCATCATCGTCCAGTTCAGGTACATCAACAAGGCGCTGGAGTGCTTCGACTCCTCGGTGTTCGGGGCCATCTACTACGTCGTGTTTACCACGCTGGTCCTGCTGGCCTCGGCCATCCTCTTTCGGGAGTGGAGCAACGTGGGCCTGGTGGACTTCCTGGGGATGGCCTGTGGATTCACGACCGTCTCCGTGGGGATTGTCCTTATACAGGTGTTCAAAGAGTTCAATTTCAACCTTGGGGAGATGAACAAATCTAATATGAAAACAGACTAGATTGCAACAGGGGCTTGGATGGTTCGAGGAACAGGCATTGGAGGTGGTTTCTGGCCCCGATTGGATGTGAAGTAGAAGAGGTCCTCGATCATGGTGTTAGAGTTGGCTGGAGAGTAACAGGTGGTCTGGTGGACAGCGGGGAGCACGGCTCAGCACCAGAGCAGAGGCCCAGCCAGCCCTCTGCAGCCCAAAGGTGCCCAGCGGTTGCCTGGCACCATCTCTCTCTGATGAGACGAATCTCATTTTCATTTCCATTAACCTGGAAGCTTTCATGAATATTCTCTTCTTTTAAAACATTTTAACGTGATTTAAACAGGAAAAGATGGGCTCTTTCTGGTTAGTTGTTACAGGATAGCAGGGATATTTTTACTTAGACTACTTTGGAAATGAGAGATTGTTGTCTTGAACTCTGGCGCTGTACAGTGAATGTGTCTGTAGTTGTGTTGGTTTGCATTAAGCATGTATAACATTCAAGTATGTCATCTAAATAAGAGGCATATACATTGAATTGTTTTTAATCCTCTGACCAGTTGACTCTTCGACCCCCACCCCCACCCAAGACATTTTAATAGTAAATAGAGAGAGAGAGAGAAGAGTTAATGATGGAGTGTTCCACTGGCAGGATGACTTTTCAATAGCTCAAATCAATTTCAGTGCCTTTATCACTTGAATTATTAACTTAATTTAACTCTTACTGTGTATATGTTCTTAGATTAGAATAATGCAACTTCCTTGAGTATGCTTTAATATTTCAATATTCAAGTTATAAATGTATAAGGCAGTTAGAAATAATACAGTCACGTGTCACTTAATGACAGGGAAACATTCTAAGAAATGCATTGTAAGGTGACTTTATTGTGTGAACATCATGGAGTGCACTTACACAAACCTAGATGGGCCACCTATGACCCACCCAGGCCAATGGCACAGCCTGTTGCTCCTGGGCTACACACCTGTGCGGCGTGTGACCGCACTGAATTCTGCAGGCAGTCGTAACACAGTGGTGAGTATTTGTGTTTCCAAACACACGAAGGGTTCAGTAAAACTGTGGCATTATAATCCAGTGGGACCACCCACGTGGAAGTGGTGTGTCTTTGACAGAAACATGGTTACGTGGTGCATGACTGTATATTCATTGGAAGATAGTCAAGACTAAAGACACATTAGAGCAAATGGACCCACTTAACATGTGATTATTGTCCAATTAAAGACAGTTGATTTAAGTAGCATGAGGTATTATTTGTATTCAGTCTATGTACCTGGGATCCAGTATCAAATAGATCCACATTCTTTATCAGCAAGCATTTATGGCCATTCAGAAGAAATAAATTAGGTAACTTGATAATAAGGCTAAGTGGGAGAAAACCTGTTCAACAGCTCATAAATCAAGTACCCTGTCACACAGGAACAGGTTAAAGGACACAATTGAGGTTAGGCTAGTTTCTACAGACTGCAACACAACAGTTTACAAAAGAATTTATAACAAAAAGCCAATGGATGTAGCCGTCTCCTTGTTGTTTGCAATGGCAGAGCGTCCTGGAGTTCCTTATCTAACCTCTCATTATATGTCTTAATTGCAAAAGAGCCATTAATTATGCCAGTATTTGAATCAAAGAGGTCATTCTCTGTAATGTTCCCATCCATGTGTTCCAAATGGGAGCAAAGCATGAAGTGATGCAAATATTTCACCACGGTATCATGTACTTCATGGCCAGTGTTTTATCTCAGTGGGGGACTATGCCAAGTTGAAAGATGGGGTTGGGTCCAGTGGATTAGGTGAAGTAGAACATAAAATTTAATAATACCCAATTAAAGTTCCTCAGTGAGGAAAAAATGTGTTTTTGTAGGCAAAAAGAACATTTCTAAAGTCTCAAGGAATAGCTTCCTAAAGTGTTGAGTGAAGAGGCTAAATAAAATGAGACTAGTTTAATATATAGAGAAAAATCCTTTATGAATTGAAAGTGTGCGTGATGACCATGAGTTGTCAGTGATTTGTGAACTAAGAGCAGCAACAAAATTGTTTTTAAAAATTGTAAATCCTCTCTTAATGGATGGTTAGCAAATGCTCGAGGTCCATTAGCAGGTTTTGTTTTTTATCATCAGTGCTTTTAGGAACTTTCTGAAAATGTAATGTAGCAGTATCAATATACTTTTAGGCATAAAAAATAGTTTCCTAGGTAAGGAGTGTGAGATATTCAAAGAATACATGTGGCTAACAAGTTCACGTGTCACCTGAAAATTATCACGTTTGTGTCGCTACAGCTTTCATGTGAAATTTAGTTTAAACGCAGCTGTTGGTGTACCTTAGTATAATTTTAATCCACAATTACACCATTGATACTGAGAGGTGATACCCGATGATCTGCTCTATAACTTTCTTAAAGTGAAACAAAATCTCAAAGTATTAATAGCTCTTTTCCCCTTGAAGGTGACTGGTCCTGGGACAGTTACAATCTTTCAGGTTTACCTCTGTTCAGCAGATACTTCAGTAGGATACACAGCTTTTCTTCCAGTGAAACAAAGTTCATATTATCCATTGTTTTTCAAACATGTGACACCAGCCTCAAAGTAAATGACATGACCAGTGGTTGAACAGTCTAATTTTCAAATTTAATATAGAGCATATAACTTCTGATTTAATAGTATTTATTTAAAAAATTTATGTTTTCATCATTCATTTGGAAATGAAAAAAAAAAAAAAAAGCCCCAAAGTCAGAACTTTGGGGGAGGGCCTAGAACATGGATCGATCTCTTAGTAGTCTTTCCAAAAGCAAATGTACTTGAAATATTTTCATTATTATACTATTCTTTGAAAAAAAAGATGCTTACTGTATACTTGTTTTCAGGCATCCTCTAAAATCAAAGGTTTTGATCACGATGTGCAGATTTCCTCTTGATAGATACTTAAATAGGCCATTTCTCTCCTCTTCTTGGGCAATGCCTTCTTTTCTCCTCTGAATATTTGCATTTGAAGAGATTGCTTCCTGTTCTGCTCATTGATCAAAGGTAGGGCCAATTAAGGATTCTAACCCTAACCCAGCACCACAGAGCCCCCCGGAGCATCTTCCCGGTTGGCAGGAGGATGCCATCTCTGTGGAGAAGGTGCTGGGGAGGGCGGTCCTTCCCCTGCCACATGGAGCAAGGCCCTGCCCATGCCGGGGACCTTGGGGAGGAACCCAGTGTTCTGGTGGCCTTGCTCAGCCCTCATTGCGGTGTTTTCCTATTAGAATGTTAGTGGAATATACTTTGCAGCTCTTTGTTCAGCAATAAGGAAAACTCTTTCAATTCCTGCTCTTCAAGCCAATTTGCTCCACCCAGTTGTCTTTCCAGAAGTTCATCCCAGCAGGAATATGTTGGTGTTTGCTCTTCTTTGGGGTTCACATCTGTTTTCTGATAGAAGTGAGCACCGTTCACTTGTGCAGTCGTCTTGCGTTCCTTCTTCCTAGACGACTCGGCTCTTTGTAAATGTTGTGCTCAACTTCCAGGGGCCAGTTCTAGACTTGGGAGATGCAGTGTCTCCCAGGTGTGCACGGACACCTGGTCCGTGGAAACAGGTGTGATGGGCACAGGCTGCTGCCCTTCTGTCTGGTGGGGAGATTCCTCTTTTTCAAGCTGCTCCGCTAACCCAGAAGAGGGGAGAGACTGTTCCCGTGGTTCCCAGAGCCCCTCCCATCGCACCGCTCTGGCGCCTGCTGGATCCTGACTTAGGCTTCCTGCCACCAAGCAGGAAACTAGGAAGAGAACATTTCAGTTTCAGGTCTGTTCCCGACAGCATGGATTAGCTTCCGTGCTCTGAAGTTGTCCTTTTCATGGTGTCTGACACCAAGGAGGTTGTTCGCCCATCAGGCAGGATTGGATGGAGTCTTGGTGTTTTGCCTACTCAGGGACCAAAAATGTGTCATTGACTCCTTAACAGGGACCTTCCTCCCAAGGACATATCCGTGTTCATTTTTCATCAGTTTTACTCATATTCATAGGTAGATTCTGTTAATGTGAGTTGGAAAGAAAAGACCAATTTGCACACCAGTCACACACAAGACAGTTTTTCATATAAAATACCTCAATTTTTTGTATTCCTCATTTCCACCTCACAATTGTACTGGTGGTGAATTTTAAGGGTCTGTCCTTTAGCTTATAGGTGATGTTTCACATCTGGCCAGATTCTTATACCTCCCTTGTATACTTGAAAAGGTTCAGAATTACAGGAACAGCAATGAGAATTTGGCCCACGATCACTGCTCATTTGTTTTCATACACATTCCTCACATGCAGGAAAATAATTATATTTTAAGAAAATGTAACTTTGTTACATTATGTTGTCTAGTAAAAAGTTGATATTCAGTAGAACAAGGATCATGTAAATAAACATCTATTTCACATGTACCCAAAGCGTTTAAAAAGCAGAGTCCGGGGCCCAGAGCATGAGCCAGGGAGGAGGAGGTTTTTCTTCTTTTCTGTATTTTTCCCTAAATCGTGCAAACATAGGTGAGTCTCTTAACCTTTCTGTGCCTCAGTTTTTCTACCTCTAAAGGGGTGGGCTGGTTCTCCCAATTGTTTCTAAAACACCGGCGCTGTCCGCAGCGTTCTGGTGGCCTGAGCTGAGAGCACCGTGTTCAGAAGTGCCCGGGAGTGGCACAGTGGAAACTCCGCTTTCACGGACCGTGGAGTCCGCTCAGGACCGTGCTGTAGAACACACAGCCTCACGTGCTGAGAAAGCAAAGGAAGCGCCGGGTGTAAAGTTTGCATGATTCCATGAAGCTTTAGTTTTCCTTTTTTTGTTTTAAAAGAAAGGGTTTTATATGTTCTATTGTAAAATATGGAAATTAAACAGGGACTTAAGAAAGCCGCACAGAAAGATCACCTTCCGATGGCGTGATGGGCTCCTGACATTTGGCCGAGGTCTGTATTCTGAAAAAGATTTAATGGCCTGTGAAACACGTGGATTCTGTTACACTGGATTTGGAATAAATGATGCTGAACTTCCTGCTTCCAAGCAGCTCAGCCCTGATGCTGAACTGACACCAGGCGAATGTCAGGGCTCCCAAACCACTAGTGCCAAAGGGTCATGTTGAAAAGTTCAGAATATTTATTTGTCAGAATATAATAATTGCCCCCCACCTTAGTATTTTTGCACTTTACAAAAATTTAGATATTGTTTTTCAGTGGCTTGAGTGTTTTGCTTTTTCAAAGGATAACTGATTTTCTTGAAAAACGGAGTATAATCGTGAAAGAGAGGAAGATGATAAAAAAAAAAGTCAAATGTTGATTGGTTGTGTAAAAGTTTTGTCATATAAATGTATTGGGGAGCTTCCAATTAGCATACATAGACACATGTGTCCATGGCTAAGACCTGCTTATATTTTGCTTTATAGATGTAGTCATAGCATGTTGTTGCCTCATGTAAATAAAAAGGCTATTAAGTTTTCCAGTAATATTTATTAATCTGTATGTGTTTTAAAATAAAATAACTTATTTCTAGCTGAACATTTGTTGATTTTTTTTTCCCTTTACTTGAAATGCTCATGTAGTCTCAGGTTCCAGGTCATCCCAGTTCCTCACATTTTTCCTATCCTCTTTTTAGAAATGGGTAGCCTAGGGTGGGTGCAGTGGCTCATGACTGTAATCTCAGCACTTTGAGGGACTGAGGTGGGTGGATCACTTGAGGCCAGGAGTTTGAGACCAGCCTGCTCAACATGGTAAAACCCCATCTCTACTAAAAAATACAAAAATTAGCCAGGCATGGTGGTACACACCTGTAGTCCCAGCTACTCAGTAGGCTGAAGCAGAAGGATCACTTGAACTTGGGAGGTAGAGGTTGCAGTGAGCCGAGATCACAGCACTGCACTCCAGCCTGGACAACAGAGCGAGACTCCATCTCAAAAAAAAAAGAAAAGAAATGACTAGCCTCTAGATCTCCGTAACAATGTAGAAAATGTCTACCTATGGGCCAGGTGCGGTGGCTCACGCCTGTAATCCCAGCACTTTGCAAGGCCGAGGCGGGCGGATCACCTGAGGTCGGGAGTTCGAGAGTAGCCTGACCAACGTGCAGAAACCTCGTCTCTGCTAAAAATACAAAATTAGCCAGGAGTGGTGGTACATGCCTGTAATCCCGGTTCCTCGGAAGGCTGAGGCAGGAGAGAGGTAGAGGTTGCAGTGAGCCGAGATCGCACCACTGCACTCCAGCCTGGGCAACAAGAGCAAAACGCCATCTCAAAAAAACAAAAACAAA